TAGGGCTATATATTAAGGTCACGTGACTAAGTATCTTAGGTAACTACCCTTATAATATATATAGGTAGGTAAGGGTTATTATAAGGCTATTTATTGAGGTCACGTGACTATATATCTTAGGTAACTACTCTTATAATAAGTAGCTAATATATATTATAAGGCTATTTATTAAGGTTATATAACTAAATAAATTAAGTAACTACTCTTATACTTAGTAAAAGACTTTATAATAATATAATAACCCTTAGTAGAAATAATCCTTATAATACCTTAAGGTATTTAACGCGATCGCGAAATAGTTCGACCAATTAATTAAAGGCGTAAAGCCCCGTACCTACCCTCAGCTCAACTTTTTTATCAGCCACGCCCCACATCTACCCTCAGCCCAGCCACCGAGTTCAACATCAGTTTACATGTAACCTCCTACGGAGTACTTTCAGCCTCCACACACGCCGAGGCGGTTCTGCTGCGCCTGCTGCTATACTGGCCTGAAGAGGGCCCTCCTCGTCCTCCATATCGTCATGCTCGTTGCCAAACGGAGGTGGTGCTAGGCATCTCTTCACTTCTCTTCTTAGCCAAGCTCGCCCTTGCACTCTACCGAGGACGCTGTTCGGTATGGCAAGTGGTAACTTGTAAGGACCATGCAGCTGCAGAAGGCTCAAGAATGACTGCATCTATGATCTCGGTCAGACGACAGACCAAGTTGTCCTGCGCTGCTGCCTTGTCCACTTTCTGCACCTTTCCCACGTCTGCTCTTACGGCGTACCGTCACCCTGCCTAAGATTCCAAGGCTCTACCCCTTGGTCCACATGCACTCCTGGTATGACACCCCGGAGCTTGTTCCGCCTCGGTGCCGGGCCTGACTGGGAAATATAAGGTTGGGATGCCCTCCATTGCTTCCACATTGTCCACTTTTACCCCGACATCCTTCGTCCCCTTCTCCCATTATTCTTCACCGTCACCGTCACCGTCGCTTCCGTTTTTTTCTCTTTTTTTCTTCGTGGGTGTCGCTTTTTGTTCTGTTACTTGGCTGCTGCACCATTTCTCGTTCCAGTTCCACCCCATTGCCTCTGGACCATCTTCTTCACAACATCGAGAGTGCACCGTCGATCGATCACAAGAGGAACCCGTAATCGCGTCAACTTTGTGCGTCATATTATCTTCTGACACCGTCATCCTTCCGAGAGTCCGAACGCACGATCCCAACTGGACCCATTACCCGCCTTGCCTGTCGTCACATCACTCTTCCCACCATGTGCTACCAGTTGGTCGAGCTCTACTCGGTGTGCCGCTGCCTCCACTACCAGCATGCCGTCGACAGATGTGCGGCCTACGGACAACCGGGCCACGGCGTTCAGCAGAGGACGATTCTTGTCGGGCTCGCCTGTGGTGCCCACGCCTCCAGCGTCAGGTACTCGTCGTCATCATACCCCTACTCCGGCACGGGCTACGACAGTGGTGACTCCTCGAGGACGTCCTACCACTACCGATGAAATGTCCTGTCTTTGGTGACGGGCTGCACTTCATGGCACCAACCCAAATTACGCTTCTTTCGCCTCGAGGACTGGGCAACCTACCTCCTTTCGCTCAGAGCAGGGCCCGCGGTGACGGTCTCTCAGACAACGACTCCCTCGCAGCTGTCCCTCTTGCTCGCGGGCAATGGCGGCTTGGCGGTCTCGTCAAAATGTTCACAAACGTATTGACGAGGAGGCTAGGTCCCGGTGGGGTGGGTTTCCCGGACTTCCCTCGCTTCCCTTCACTCTTCACTCTTCACTCTTCGCTCGTACGGGCCTTGCTATTTCGACTTTGTTCCGTACCCTATAACGACCCTGCCATGAGACCAAACAACGAAGTCATCGAAGACAGACAGTTTACGACCTCACCCTTTACCGAACCGGCTTTGTTACGATTCACGGCCATGTACGATTTATCGACAGCCCCGCCTTTACGACGATATACTACCTCTCGGATCGATTTCGATATTCCTCTTTGTCCCTTATGGCGTTTTCTCGGCTGATAGGCAGAATGGTGTGTGGCCTTGGGAGCTCAGGCATTCTGTTCTTCTCTTCTGTGGTTCTACCTTGCATTTTCTTTTGGGTTTCATGTCAGGCTATTCAGGTTTCCACCCATAGGGTTGGGCTAAGAACATGGCCCTCGACGGGCATATGAGCAATGCTCGTTTGGATCCTTTTTCTCTTCATTTTTTATACCCTTTTTCGGGTTTCCTCTCTTCCCTTTCCTTCCTTTTTTTTCTTCTTTTTTTCTTCTTTTTCCTTTTCGAGTTCCGCCAGACGGCCTGTTTTCAGGGTCGTGTGCTTCTGTAACACGCCCTTCTCTTCACTTACGTTGCTTTCGCTGGGTGGTCGAGATCGATCACTTCGGCGCGGCGTATTTAGACCAGCTGGGGTCGGCCCCTGTATTCTTGGCACTTCGACGCATTTGGGAAACGAAAAAGAGGTGGGATTCACGGCGTTGAGGCACGGATTGTCGATGTAGTGGTCTTAGCTACCACGGGACGGGTGTTGGCCGGCGGGGCTTTGTATTTCCGGCTTCTTTCATTTGTTTTATTCCCGTCTGTTTCTTTCTCGGTCTTTTTTTTTGGGGGGGGGGGGGTTTCCTTCTTTTTTTACTTTCCGATCAACCGAGCCTGGCCGGTTACCAGCGACTCGGATGATTTTCTCTGTGGTGTTTATAGTACGCAGCCCAAGGCGATGCTGTTCTGGAAGCAGTCGGAGCAACAGTGGCCGTACTACCGTCGGGAACGGGACGCCTACCATGAAGGCATTGATTGCCGTGGGATAACTGGCTTGTCCCACAGGATACCTTAGATAGATACTGGCCTCGAGCCCTGGTTGTGATCTACACGAATATAGAAACACATGTACTCTCCCTTGAGTCTCATCCTTACCTATACTTCACTTGTCTCGCTCAGGCCGAAGTTGCACGTATCCGTAGTTTCATGTGTTCACTGGGACATTTCACTACGTGCTCGCTTCGGGATTCGGCATGAGATGTCCATAAGCCGAGGGGGTATACCGTATAGTGCACAAAAGAATTGTGATCAGTGCTTGAGGACCAGAGGCTGAGCGAGGAAGCAAGAGACTGGACGCGGCGGATGTCAACGGAGTGGGAGCCATGTCCAAGACTCCGTAAGGTACTTTCTGCCTTGTTATTTTGAGCCGGCGCGTCAGGACAAGACTTGCGAGGGAGCCCTTGACGATACGAGATACGGTGTTCGACACGGTAGCGTTCTTGGTGCTGGAGAACACTGGGATGGTTGTAGGTAGGTAAGGTAGGTAGGTATTCTCGACAATGTCGAATGCGGAGTACCATATTAGTGAGAAGAGGGAGAACGTCGTACTATCTTTGTACCGTCGTCGTGAGGAGCTTACGAAGTAACAAGTTGGACGGAGTAAATGGGTACCTCGTACCGTATCGCCGGATAAGGAGATGCTGGACAGATGACATCACGTGACCACTGCTCTTACTTATACAACCACCACTTTGCCAACGTCGGGTCAACCCTACTGACCCCCCTTTGATATTCTTGCTCTCTCTCTCTCTGTTTTTCTCTGCCTCTATTCCACCCCCCCCCCCACTCTTTTTTCATTAGTTTTGGCTTTCCTGCTTCCTCTTACCACATTGCCTGCTGACTGTGGTCCCCATTGCATGCATACCGCCCGTGGAGGTGGGAGGAAATAGGCCATGCTTCATCGCGTCTCCTCTGCCTTGCAGAAATGCAAGTCATGGGGTAATCATGTCCAGCTTGATAAATTTCTCCTGTCATACTCGGTAGAGTAGAGCCCGAGGACGGCCATGCCTCTCCTAACTTGGTATCCGGTCAGTTCATCGTCTGGCGTTCTGCGAGCGGATGGGGACTTGAGAAACACGAACCTGGACCTTGTTCTGGAATTTCATTCATTCCCGTTTTTTACTCGGAAAGACGCCCGCCACTCTGTGGGGGACCTGACATTATCTTCTTGATCCAGGGACCCCCTCTGAAAGAGCCTCCAAAAGACTAAATCCATAAAACAGACAAATCGGTGATGATGTCTTAGCATCCGCTGCCTTCATCTTCACAGCGTCTTAAGCCCCAGAACCCCTGGCATGGTAATTGGGACTGAAAACGTATGATGGATGCGTCCAAACAAAGGCCCCGGTGCTTACTTCATATTTCTGCTCTGCTCCCATCATCATGTCAATGCTTGATGGCCCCAACGAAAGTGGGCAAAAGATCTCACCGACCTCTTCACTCCTGCGCGTCCACATCCATCTCATCAACCCCCTCTGGGCCAGTGCCAGCCGTCTTGTTGAGCTCCGAGGCCTTGGGAGTCGGCTCACTATTTTCCGAATCGGAACCGTCGCCATCCTCCTTGGGGTGAACGGTCTTGCGACGCATAATTTCCCTTTCACGGGCAATATCATGTCCAGACATTGTCGTGGTGTTTTCCATCTCGTCGCGCGACCGCTTTCCCCCGCTTCCCGGCCGAGGCGGTCCCGAGACGGCGCGGCGGTCGTCGTCGTCGTCGTCGTCGTCGTAGCTCATCATCATCGGCTTGTCGAGGCTTGTGGTGCTGCTGCTGCCACCACCACCACCATCACGACCCTCGACGGTGTCGTTGCCTCTGGCGTAGCTTCCAGTAAAAGTCGGCATCGGTCGCGGTCCGTGCGGTCGCTCCACGGGACGCTGCAGGCGGAGGAGAGGGTCCAGCTTTGGGTTGAGATGCGCAAGGCCCTTCGGGATCTGGGGGATCGACGGCGTCGGCGAGTTGGGATCGGGCCAGACGAACCGCGACGTATCGGCTGTGTCAGGGCCTGCGCGTGCCGCATTTTCGTCACCGTCCTCGTCCTCCTCCTCGTCCTTGTCGTCCAGGTGCTGCGGACTCATGACAAACTGACCCCATTCAGCGGCTATATGGTATGCGGGGTTATCCTTCGCTTCGACGATGACGGGCTTGAACGGCCCGTGGGGACCGCTTCCTCGAGGAATCCGGCGGTGGGATACGGTTCTCCTCTCGACGGTTGCGGATGCCTCTGGTGCCTTGGCCTGAGCAGATTGAACCTGGACGCCGTGGCCGTGGCCGTGGCCACGAGATGGGGTAGTAAAAGCTTGAGAGCCAAACGTGCGGGAGATGGCAGCCTGGACTTCTGGAGACTGGATAACAAAGGGCCGGGTGTCAGGGGAGGACTTTACTTCGGGTGCTTTGTCCCAGCTCTCATCTCTGGCCTTGTTTTGGTTCTGGCGCTGGCGAGCAGCATCTGGGAACAAAACACGGCTCACCCTTTTCTTGCTTGAAAAGCTCCTTTCTTCATCAGAATCCATCATGCGAAGTAATTCAAAGATGAAAGAAATCTGGTGCTGGGTCTGGGATGCTGTAGCAAAGGGTCTGGTTGGTGAGAAAAACAAGGCGAGTCTCAATGAAAGGGTTCAGCGAGACAAGACTGTGATGCCCTGGGAAGGTGAAGTTGAAAAAGTTATGGAAACAAGGAGAAGGGGGGAAAGAGCTTCCTTTTACCCAAGGTAAGCTTTGATATATTTAACCCCGTGGTGCAAGAGTCTCGGCGTGGGAGGCAGTTGAAGGGTTCATTTGCCCTGTTCCTGAACATACCTTAAGTTGGTGATGCCCGGCCCTCGCCGAGTCGCCATAGCTCTCTTACCTATCTGGAAAGCCGGAGGGTGGAAGTGTTTTATGGCATATTTTCTCACAAGCTAACCAGGCATCCATTCTCAGCACACATGGGTTTATTGAAAATTCTTTGCATCAGACTGCCATCGTTGCTACTGGCTAAGAGAAGGAAGCTCTTTCTTGGTGCCTTGGACCAGACACGGGATACAGATAGGACACAGGCTGCACATAGGCTACCTTAGACTAGAGTCTGGTGACTGGTGGCCAAGTGCAAAGACGCGCAGCATACATCTCAGAGCAGTAGAAAGAGATGTAGGCAACCAAAAGTCGCATCAGAAAGGCTATCAGTGGTGTGGAGGGGTAGGAATTGAAGCCATCCATTCCTAGACCTTAACATTTTGTGACAAGTCCAGCCCCTTGCTAATGATTTTGTCTTACTAGGCCACTGACAGACCCCTGACAATAGAGCACATACGCCTTTGCATTGTTAATAACACCCCTTAACCGCCCATCCCTCTCAAAATGAACCCAGCCTCCAGCCCAAGTTTTGAACTCGAATCCAACATGTCCGTATCATGAAATCGTTACAGTCGTTCCGCAAGGTTTCCCAGAAATCAAATAGAACCCACTTGCTGACCTCGGTTGTGCCACGTGCGAACTCCCCTTGATATTTTATCCTGAATCAGTCATCCACTTCCATCTTGTCCCCAGTGGGAACAGAGGCTTCAACAACAGAGCTGGGATCGGTCTTGACGGCCGAATAGGACGCTGTGTTTGTGTCTTGGACATCCGCACCTCTTCCAGCGCTGCTTCCGGTCCCGGTCCCGCCGCCGTTCCCGATGGCGCCGTTGCTTAGGCAAAGACGGTATTCCCCATCCTCCCTGCGTTCAATGACGCCTTCGTCGAGGGCCCATTTGGCCAGGAGGTGGTCAACGCCGAGCTGTTGGCCCTCGCCCTTCTCCATGTGCCTCCCGACATGCTCTGTCCATTCATCCCACGACCCGGGCCCCTCAAATATGCTCTGGCATTCCGGTTTCGGACAGGCCGACCTCTGGGGAGGCAGTCGGCGGGTAACCAGGCACGACTGTTGCATCTCCTTCACGTGGTTATCCCACTCGACCTGCAGTTTAGGGTCAACCTTGGAAAGGGCCTTCTTGATGGCAAACGGAGCATGCATGCGGCGGAGGTGCTGGGTGAAGAGATCCTTCCGGTTGAACTCGTTGCCCTTGCCCTCCGCCGTGCTCGACGAGCATGACGAGCACCGGTAGTACTGCAGACAGAGATGCTGGGACGCGATGTGGCGCTTCCACTCGTTCTTGGAGCCGAATGTGCTCGTACAGCCCGCGAAGGAAAAGGCGCAGGGGAACGGTCGGGTGTGAGCTGCAGCGATGTGTTTCCGCAGCGAAGAAGAGTCCTTGAACGGCTCGTGGCTGCAGAAGGTGCAGCGCGTTTCCTGTTTCTGGGTCGTCTTCTGCAGCGATCGTCGTTGTTGTTTCGGCCGTGAGTTTGGCGTGGTCATCTCCGCTATATGAAGCGAGTCATCCGCTCCCGACTCGTTAGCTTCATGGGACGAAGACGTGTCCTCGCGCTTTGTATGAACGGCACCGTCGGGGAGTGTGGTTCTCTGCTGTCGTTCCACCGCCGGAACCGCTTCGTCGCTCAGATGCCGGACGTGGCTGAGCGCCTTGAGTTGCTCCGCTGCTTCTTGCATCTCGGCAGAATCCTCGACCTCGTGCTTCCCCTCACCGGCACGCGGAACTACTCCGGAAGACGGGGGCCGTGGGGTCCCCGACGCAATGGTGTCCAGACGGCTCGCCCCGTCCTGGATGGCGGGGTCCTTCGTATCCAACGAACGTCGCTGGATGGAAGAAGTGCTAGCGGCGACTTCCCTGGCCTCCAAAAGAATCCGACCATCCTGAACGTCCTTCGCTGAGGCTTTATTGACACCGACAGATCCCACAAGTTTCTGGTAGACGTGAATCATGTTGTGCGAGCTGATATATCCAAGGAAGCAGCAGACCTTATCGTGCTGCACGATGCTCCAAATGGAATGCGGCATGGAGATCAGAAGCATGGTGGGCGGGCCAAGAAACATGCCCTCGACTACTATTTTGGCACCCAGGGGCGGTGTGTTGTGCAGCCAGCCGTTGAAGGACGACATATCCGGACTGGCATCTCCTACGAAGGTGGTGCATACGAGAACCCGAGATTCGTCCAAGCGCAGGTCAGCCACGGATTCTGGGTCGATGAGCTGGTCTTCCCGGAGGGCTTTTTTCGGCGATGTATCGGAGTCTGTACCGTTTCGCGGGGAGTGCAGCTGGGGCGTAAGATTCGGGAGGGGAGCTAAGCTCAAACTCTGCCCTTTGCCTGGTGTCAGGGTGAAAAAGACGGGAGTGTGGCTGCTGGACGGGTTTGAGGCTTTCCTGGCGTCATCAGTAGCCAGCTGCGTGGGTTGCGCGATCTCCTGCTGCCTCAGCAGTAGGACCTCGTCGTACAAGCGCTGGACACTGAAGGGTCTGCCAGTGCCGAGCTTGTGCAGGGCTTCGATGAGGGCGTGAGTGAAGGAATGTCCGGTCGACTCGCGCGGGTTGTGCTCGGCGGTACAAGCTGCGATGACTTGCTTCACGCCGTGGCTCCCTGACAAAGGCATCTCACGGGCTGAACAGGTGTCTAGGAGTAGGAGGATGTCTGACTGGGCATCTTCGAATAGACAGCGTACGCCATCCCACTTGAGCTTGGCAGCGTCTTCGCGTTCGTTGCTGGGAAGAAGTGGTCAGAACAAAGCAGGCGACCGAGGCGTCTCGAGAATGGCGAAGCTTCTTGGACTTACCAAGCCCAGTACAGCTGATTATCGGGCCCAACGTAACCATAGCCAGCGTAATAGATGATGAGGAGGTGGTTCGGGCGGGCGAGATCCAGAAACGAAGCCATCTGCACACCGAGCTTGATGCTGGGATTGGGCACAGTAGGAATGTTCCAACGGTCTGTACGGAAGTTGTAACGGTCACGCAGAATGTTTTCCAGTGCCACAAGGTCCGTCTCTACCGAGGTATCCTCCTCCCATCGCAACAACAGGACGGAGACATTATTGTAGGGCGGCCGCTCGGTCTGGCGTTGGATAAGCATGGCAGCATCCTGAAGATGCCTCGCAAAAGACTCGAAGTCATGACGTTCTGTGAGGTCCGCGTCTTGAGCGGGGTACGACGGCTGCTGGGAAGATGGAGGCGGAGCAGGCTGAACCCCAAGTTTGTTAGCCCTTAGCCTCGGCACGCGCACGGGATACGGGGAAGGGAGAGGGAGAGGGAGAGGGGGAGAGAGAGAGGGAGAGAGTATTGAGACTGTAATTACCGATTCGTTTGTATTAGGGAAGGATGCGGCCTGGGAGTGTGATACCGACGACGGCTCCTTGGGCATGAGTCGCCTCTTTTTGGAAGGTTGCGAGGCTTGGTCCATCTGCAATAAGGGCTGTCACAGATGGGGACGAAACGAGGCTACGGATGAAGAAAGAGTAGATAAAGGCCAATTTCGGCTCGAGAGCAGCATTGGTCGGGGTATGATCAAAGGCCAGTATACATCTACGGCATCAGGGTGAAGGTGGTGTCATGCACCACGCAGAGGACCGGAGAGATCGGGGGGTTCTGAGGGGATGGATCTGAGGAGGTTGTCGGTGAGTAGATGACTGGATTTCGAATATGGCATAGAAATTGAAAACAAAACAAAACAAAACACAACAAACCAGAAAGGGGGAAGGATCAATAATTCAAGAGGATTGGGTCGCAAGACATGACTGATTGGAATTGTGAAATGGCAGAAAAGGGGAATGAACAAGAAAGGTGGAAATGGGCAAAAAAAGGAGGGACCGGGGAAGCAGAGGAAGAGGGGAAGTGCTGGGAAGGCGGAAGGCGGAAGTCGGAAGACGGAATATGGCGGGAAGGTAAGGCTGGGGTTGGTCTTTCCCATGCAAATGCTCAGCGAGGCTGTGGCTGTCGGCTCGTGTCAAGGTGGGACTTGGAGGGTAAGAGGGCAGTTAAGGTACCTCCAGTAGGTAGGGTGCGTTGTGTTGGTGTGCTGGGTGTGCGAGGCGATAGGTCTTCTGATTGGCCACTTGTTGAATCTCCCCAGCCTCTTGTGTTCGACCTTGGTGCAGGATGAGGTTTCCATTTCTGCAGAAAGGCCTAGCTTTCCCTGCAAGCTCAACCGCCTAAACCTTGACGGATACTGGGGCTCTGTCCGACTTCGCGGGCGCTTTTTTTCTTTTCTTTTCCTTTTTTTTTTTTTTTTCTCCCTTCTTCCTTTCTATTAAAGACAATTGTTTCCCTTACTCTGCTTCATACAGCCAGAGCCAGTCCTCCAAGATTCCATTCCCAACCCGAGTTGATTTCCTTAACCTTCTTTTATAATCTAAAACTACACTGATCGAAGGTCCCCCAAAATGCACCCCCCCTTCAAAGGAATCCGTCGCCCCCCAAAGAAAAATTGCTGTCGTCAGCCTCGGATACCACAGAATTACACACTGCGGGGATGAATACAAACTCACCACTGCTGTCTTGCTGTCCACTATCCCCATGATTCGAAAAGTCATGTCCTATCCACAAGTCGCTCCCCTCTCTGCCACGGTCTTCTGGGCCCTGTCTATTAGTATCTAATAATGTCACCTACGGGCAGCTACTTCGTATTATCCCTTGTGCGCATCTCGTGGTCTCGCGCTTGAGGTTTCACCTTGTTCTCCCGTCCTCCTTAGTATCTCCCTTCTTGCCGTCTCTGCCCTATTATCGCTGACCCCCCTCGCTCAACGTCCTGTCGGCCATGGGGAAACCAAGAGGAAAGCAGCCAAATGGCCCGCACCAAATATGCCGCCACTGCTCGCCCCCATCTTTCCCGACTGGTGCCACATGTACGGACTATCCGCAAGTCCAAGGCCGGCCATACCTACTTGGGCCGTCCAAAGCAACATCTTCCTGCAAAGCAATTGGTAGCTTGGTAGTTGCGTAGTCATCCATGACAGGGAGATTACTGGTGACAAGTTCAACCCATGCTCGCAGTGATTGGCCTCCAGGGGCCTTCTCAATGGAAAAGGTTACGCTGGCTTTCATACTGTTCAGGTGTGGCCAATCAAACATCCACATCCGACCATCAAACCAGAGAGAGGCTCCGAACCGTGACACGGCGCTCTAATAAGGAGCGTAAACTCGTCACGATGCACTCTTCAGGAGGACGCTGCGTCGGTCGGGCATCAATCTGGAAAGTCCGAAGTACGCACCGTCTCCGATTGAGGGCTTCAGGGTGTTTTACCATGGACGTGGGAGCCAGTATTCCAAGATAACAATTAATGTAGATCACCATTACTCGGCTCTTGCCCAGGAAGCGGTGAACCCATGCCGTGCAGTAGGGAGAAGGAGGTGGCTGAGTGACCTAGGAGGCAACCTCGCCGAAATTATTGAATTGACGGGAGCGTGCTTGCAGGGAGCGTTGATTTAGGAAATGTATGATTGTATTATCTATAAAAGAGAAAGAAAAAGGGGGCGGGTGTACGTGTCCTAAATATATCTGCCACCTTCTAAGCGAGGATAGTAGGGCACCTCTAACTAATAGGAGGTTACTATACCGTGGCTTACGTAATAGAATATAATATACCCCCTAATTATTACGCCGTGATTAGCGGAATGATTACTTAGCCTAACCTTAACCTAGCCTTATTTTTAACCTTAAAATAGCCTTAAACGGTTATATAATACCCTTAATATTGAGTTAAAAGGCAGGAACAAAAGCTGTAAAATAATAAAAAATAATAATAATAGTAGTAAATAATAAAGGAAAAGTGCTATTAATAGTAGTAGTAAATAGGTGATAGTGGGACCTTCCGTAGATAAATTAAAGGCGTTATGCCGGCGTTTTAGAGCTTTTAGATCCTCCCTCTTATAACCTTTTATTCCGTTATTTCTTAAGGATTTAACGATCTTAAACTAATTTTCTGAATTTTTCTAATAATAGCAATAAAAACAATAATAACAGCGATATAGTGAGTATCGGAGCTTTGTTTTTAGTGGCGCGTGCTAACTAGTAGCTTCGTTTTAGGCCCCTCCTATTCTATCCGCCGTTACCCGTGCCGCCGCCGCTAAGAAGGCTTCGGCTAATAGTGTGAAAAAGAATAAGAGTAAGGCCGGCACTAAGAAGGGTGCTTGTATAAGTTATTCCGGCGCGTTAGTCTATAATATCCCTACGCTATTTTAGGCTAACTCCTTAAAAGACTGCTAAGGGTAGTGGAAATAATAATAATAAGGATACCGCCGATGCTTTTATGCCGGTGCCGTTCGATCCCCCTTACCTGGAATACGTGAAGGGTATTTATTCCGGTAAATAGCACTTATTTAACTACTATATTTCTATCCCTAGCCACTCTAACTACTACTAAAAGTATAAGGATAAAAACTATATATACCACCCTCTATAAGTTCTTACCCCTTATCTAAGGCGCTTTATAATCGTGATTATATACTCTATTTCGTATTAGCTCTAGGATATATACGCTATTAAGCTTTACAACCGCTAACCTATACTTATAGTTTTTCTAGCCTTATATCCTTAGTTAAAATTCTTTTTAACTATATTATAATCCGTAAAATTAATAAGGACTCTAACGATAACGATAAAAAAGTGCGTTTAATGCTTTATCTCTAGACTTAAATACTCTAACTAAGTATTTTACGCAGTTTTTTGCTAAACTTAAGTAAACGGTAAAGTTTATAATTAAGTTAATAGAGGACGAAGAAAACGAGAAGTTCTTTAAGAAGGCGGAGCTTAAGGGAGCTTTTAACTAGGGTCTTAGTGCGCCGACTACCACCTTTACCTCCTAGCTTACGGGGGTTATAATAGATATTCTACGGGAAAATAGTTATATTATTACTCCTCCCGCTAAAGGAAATAGCGTAAATATTACGTAGGATAGTGCTTAGGATAGTATTAACGGAGCTTAGTGAATTATCTAGTATACTCCTTCTTATATTTTAGGAATTACTTTCGGGTTTTAGTATAGTATTTTAGTATTAGGATAATTATACCCTACTTTTTACTAAATTAACTAAACCGCCGGCGCGCGGTACGCCTAGGGCGCGGGAATTTCGACTTTAACTGCTTCTATCTACCCCCTCCGTGCACTAATTATATTAAGATATACTCGGAAGTTCTCGAATTTTTATCGTGGAAGTGCTTTTATTAATCTATCCGCTAGTATTAAATTCGTAGTAAGATATATAACTCTGAATAATCCCTTTATATTATCCTGCCTTATCTAAAAGCGCTATATATCTATATAGTAAAGCCTAGTCTTAATCCTAAAGCTATCGTCGACTATTAGGCGTATCGTTTATATATTATCGTAGTGGATATCCTAAGGAGATTCTGGATTAAAGCGTATTTCGACGAAAAGACGCTTTAAACCTATTATTTCTTTCGCTACTTACTTTAAAGCGAGTAGCTTTACTTTAGTTATAAACGTTATTACCATTACTTACCTTATTACTTTCTATATAACTAATCCACTAAATAGGCTAATAAGGTAACCCTATAAAGATCTTCGTGTATCTAAATCGTCTATAAAAGAGGCGTCGCTTACGATAACTATCGCCTATAAACTAATACTCGATCCGTACTAAATTAAGAGGTCCTTTATTATAAATAAATAGCGGATAGCTTCGTCTACCGCCTTATAGTGCTCGGGAGAGGGGTTTCTAAGAAAGCGGGAGAGGATAAAAGCGGCGAATACTATATTAGGACGTATTATAACTATTATATAAAGCATTAATTCGACCTTTTCTTAATAAGATTTAATCTTTTAAGCGGTGGCTTCGTCTTCTCTTTTCCGGTATTCTATAACAGGAATAAGGATTACTAGGTAGGTATTTAGAGCGTTTAATTTAAACCTGGCTACGATCTTTTCGATATATAAGTCGTAAGAGAGGAAAACCTTACGTTTAGGGCGATCTTAAGTAATCTTAATACCTAAAAACTAATCGGCTTCCCCTTTTTCCGATACCTTAAACCTTATTTTAATCCCTTCGATAATCCTAAGGCCGTTTATAGTATTATCTCTATAAAATAACACGAGAATAGTATCTATAAAGAAGATAACGAATACGTTTTTAGCCTTAGTATAGAATAGGTATAGTTCTTTCTTACTAGCCTTTATCCCTAAGTCTATTGGGGTGGCCGCGAAGGTCTAGAACTATAGTCTAGGCGAGTCGCGTAGTCTATACAGTGCTTTATCGAGCTTTAAGCACTTATTAGGCTACTTAAATCTATCGGGAAGTTCGTATATAACGGGCGTTCCTGTTTTACTCCTTTAGGCGTTAACGAAGGCGTTAACGATATTAAGTTACTTAATTTCTAGATTAAACTAAGTAGCTAGGGCTATAATAATACGAAAAGATCGTATAGCGAGCGGTATTACGTAGGTT